GGGGGGGGGGGGGTTGGGTTTATGAAACAAACCTTAAATTCAAGTTTATATTCAACGACTCTTACATTTTTAGGATTTCTAAAATGAAGACTTTTTCTAACTTCGGGGATGTCATGGCTTGCACAATTGGTCACTGTTAAACAGAACCTTTTAAATTTGATAATTGAGTCCTTGAAAAATGTAACGTTGGGAACCAAAGATTAAATTTTAGTCAATCCTCTTATCAGAGGCTAAAAATAATATATCCATTTAAATTCAGCAGTTGAAGGAATTACATGGTGTAGCTGATATTCCCAAATCATTTAATCAATCAAGAAAAAAAAAGAAGAAGTAATTTTACCCCTTTTGAGTTTGACTTGGACTTGTTACTGCTATGATTTGAGATGGATGATTTCTCCTTTGCTTCTTTCTTCACAGCTCCGGTTACAATCTCAAATATTGTTGGGAGATCATTTATCATAGTGAAAAGACGTTTCCTGTGTCACAACTTGCATTATATGATTGGGAAATGAAAGTTGATAGACAAATTATTCACATCAGCTGGCAAACAGGCATTGCAAAGAAGAAACAAACACAACACTAGAGAGGCAAGTTTCTATGCTCCACCATGAAAATCTTTCAAGCAGAGAGAGCTAATATCAAGAGGAAAAAAAATCTTGTTGATGCAACTGTTGTTTCATCGCTTTTAGCAGCAGTCTCACCAAGATGAGGCCATCAAAGAGTTAAAAACACAAACTACTTTATCACGCAACAAGCTTATACATCTTGTATTAAAGTGACAGGAGAAAAGGTCTTTTCATTTAGAACAGCATCAAGAAACAAATCTCTGTTAAAAATCTGTACTTCACAATACTGCTATTAAAAAAGGTAGAGGCATCAGTATATAACAGATATTGGTATGCAGCATTAACTTGGTTGTTATGAATTTAGTTTCTAACTTCTACAATTTAAATCAATTGTAATAAAAAAATGTAAAAACAATTTTCTTGCAAATAAATAATTACTTTGGAATTTTGATAAATAATATGAGCATTTCTCAACCTATCAGACCTTGAAATCAGATAAGACCATAAAACAAATAGCTGATCATTCTTAATTACATACCCTTTTCTCTTCTATTCATAATGTCACAAACATTAAATTGTGGGCTCTGAGAAAAATGTTATTAAGAATCTCCATAAACTGGATCTGGGGTGATTTAAATTCCCAACAAGAAGCCAAATCCTAAGCTTCAGTTAAATTACAACATGAAGAACATAACAGACATTGTGAGCACAACTATGAAAGTGCACGGACATCTGATCCCCTTTTTTTTTTTTTTTGGATAACTAAATAACTAGAAAGAACAAAATATTCTTTTATGTAAGACATTGAAACACCAATGTTGGAAGCAGGAGAGGGGGGGCGGGGGACTTGCCTATCAGTTTTATCAAAACCAAATCTAGAGCCAAAGTAGAAAGCCACAGCAAGCAACCACGCGTCACTATGAACAGCAACTAGAGAGAGCCAGTCTTTTTCTTGCATCCCATCTCTGGCAAAGTTAATTCCAAGTGCAGGCTCTGGGAGTTCGGGAGGCACTTCCTCAGCAGGTAAATTGACTTCCCAGTGTTCATTAGGGAACCCATACAGGCAAAGATTCTCCTTCTCTGTAGGGCACACTAGTTAGTTACATGTATATTTGAACATCATCCACCGTTAAAATGAAGTGAGAGACTATAACTATGATTAAAAATAAAATAAGAGGCAATAAGTTTATAACTCTATTTTTCTCTTTTGCAAGCTATCCAAATCAATCGGCAAACAAAGATCACAACAGAAACAGTAATATCAGCATCCATCTCAAAAATTCAAATGCAATCACAGATGCTGGAAGGTGCAAATGCTATTGGAAGTGATAAGGTGCAGTTCCTCCTTAAGCTGCAAATAGAAGGCGTACAAGGAATTATACAGAAACGCCACACTGAAACGTAAGAAAAATAAAGCTCCTAATTATCACCCTTGACTTTGTTATAGACGTCAAGAAAAGTTAATTAGCAGAACCAAATGAATGAAAATAGAGAAGCTTGATAATCGTAAGAACAAATATAAAAGATTGTTTGAGTTCTACGTCCAAAGTTAATTTTTCTGTGGTTTGAAACCAAATCAAGCATACTTCTAAGGTGGTATAAATTTCAACTTGTTTTAGACAACCACTGGATTTAAAATCTGAGACCATAAATAATACAAAATCCAGCATATCGATATTTCAAATCATAACAAACAAGTGGAGTGTAAGTAGGAGTTGAAAAAAACTCACAGAAATATAGCAAATAGAACTCATCTCGACACAAATAGAAGAATCCACCCAGATCAATGCCAAATGTTTCCATGCACAACAGAAAATGATTCGCTCAAGGATCCCTAAACAAAGTTTGCTTGAATTTTTGAAGAAAACACATCTCTGTCCCCAACTCAAGATTGTGGAGGCTGGAAACGTAGCTTATGGAAAATGCATGTAGTATTTCTCCTTCTTAACAATCAAGTAACTTCAATAACTGTTTGAAAAGAATAACTTAAATCTCAAGTGCGAAGCCGAAAATAAGTGAAGGAGAACACATCGTAAAAAAGAAGAAGAAGAAGAAGAGTTTAAGCTTAAAGCCGCACTAACCAGTTTTTTTATTTTTTTCAAAAAATAGCAATGCTTTTATTAATCAGTTGAACTTTACTCCTAATAGAGTTTTTAATATACAAAAATTCAAACAACAGAACACCACCAAGAAATGAAAAAAAATTAAAAAGCGTGGTAGAAAGATAAAAGAACCCTAACCAGGATCACACTGCTGATAAAATTCTTCTACATCTGCCAAAAAAAAGAAGAAGAAAAACCACCACAAACAGACGTAACATAACTCACAATGCGAAATCAAAATCCGAAAAGAGAATTGAGAGAGAGAGAGAGAGAGATAGCAGTACCAGTAGTTAGGGCTTTGATCATTCCAGCTCTACGGCCTTTAAGATCCCTGAAAACCTCCTCTACAGTTCGGGGGTTGTACTGGGCGCCTCCGTCCATTTTTCCGTACAATTCAAACAAACAATTGTGCTGCAGAGAGACCAAGATAAATAAAATAATGTAATTATTATAAAAGAGAGAGAAGAGAGATAATAAAGGAAATCTATCTTGTTTTGGAGGGGTATTTATATTTATGAAGAAACCAAAAAAGAAGTTACTTTTTTTTTCTTTTCTTTTTTCTCAGTACTTGGTAGCAGAAGCAGGAGAGTGGAGACAGGGACAGGCCTCAAACAATAAAAATAAATAAATAAAGAAAGAAAGAAAGTCCCGATGACTAATAATCTTCTGGTCAAGTGATGGGGAATTCCTTGAATTTTAAAAAAGGATTTCAAACAGGACTCTAACTGTATAGGTCCTATCTGTGATTAAAGAGAAAGAAAAAACTCAAGGTCCCACCCAATTTGTTGTTTGCTTCCTTGCTCCAGCTCAAGTAGTTGTTTTTAATATTTCTTTGGCAATCATCATCATCTGAGACTGGGAGGGTGTTCTTCCATCCTTCAAATCAGATTTTAAGCTAGCTTTTGAGACATCTAACTGAGGTGAATCCTCCAGCCGAGTTCAGTATAAAGTATAAACTAGATCCTGTCTGCCTTTCTCTGCAGCCCACGAGTATCCGAAATTTATAAATCAATTAAAAAAAAAAAACAAGTTTGACGTGGATGATAGAGACTCTCGTTATCCACGTCGCATTCGGTCCTCGGCTGAAGGATCCATGATGTGATGTTTTTGGGCTCACACAGCTCACAGACACAGCCTCGGGCACACAGATTTCTTGAATCCAAATCCAGAATTGAATGGTGATGCTGAAGTGAGCTGGAGTGGTTTTCTAATCCCTGTGCTTTGATGGACTACTCTCTCTCTCTGTCTCTCTCTCTCTCTCTCTCTCACCTGTGAATTAAGATGGGAATCAAAGAGCGAGAAGAGTACGATATCTCAATCAAGAGCCATCTTGCTTTACGGTGATTGAAGATCGCGTACCTGTCATACACGTGTATGATTGTTTGCTCTTTAGAAAACATACAGTTTTGTTTTCCGTTTTAATTTTTTTTATTTTTTTATTTTTTTATATACCATATCAAAAATTAATTTTTTAAAATAAAAAATAATTTTTTAATATATTTTTTCTAAAAAGTTACTATAATGGTATCAACAACCATGGCTATGCTGTTCTGGTGGCACCGACGGCTGACTCTATTATAGTTGCCGCGATATTAACCTGCCCCCATGGACTTCCACATTATAGATCTTGTGTTTGAGAGAAATGTTTGTTTGTTTTTTTTATTTCAAAAATGTGTTTAAAACTTTTTTATTTTTTTAATTAATTTTTTTGAATGGTTTTAATAAGTTATATCAAAAATAAATATTATATATATATATATAGATACATATATTATTTTAATTAACTTAAAATAGAACCAATGCAATGCCATAAAAGTTCTTAATTAACCATAATTAAAGTTCATAAAAGAATGATAAACTACTACTAATAAACTAGTCTCATTGGCGCTTTATAGATCGACCTTTAGCGAAGAACCTTAAACTAGTGATTAAGCGCGCAGGTTAAGATAGGTGCCTGCAAACAATATAAATAATTAGCATTGAGGAAACTTGAGAACACCTAGATTTGTGGAAACATACAACCAGTCCAGCATCTGAACTCCGATAATTTATTTCAATTTTCTGAGGCTTCTTATTTCATACAATCACAGCAGGTCGGAGGAGTTTACTAGCTAAGGAGATTTATATCAAGATGGTGTACGCTATACCGGTGGGCATTCATATTTTCTGAACATCTGCTGAGGCCTTGTGAGACCAACAAAAATTCTCTGAGAAAACCAGAATGCCTTGGACTGATTTCACTATTCAGTGAGCAAACCCACAAAGTGCTTTTACTCCCTGCAACTTCACGGAAAAAACAGAGTAGAGGTAACAATACTTTTGAGTTCGAGGTGCTGCCCTGAGCCAATTTATAACATCTCAAAATTCTAAATGAAGTCACCTCCCCTCAGTATCTGGAAGCAGAAATATAAAAATCTTCAACAAGGAGTGAGTAGAGAGTATTGAGCTTGGGCCAACACAGCAGTGATAAGAATCTTCACCGTAACTCAGATTCTAGAGCTGGTTATTCCACATCTATCATAAGACAGGTATGAAGTGATAATAACATAGAAATGTAAAAGACGAGGTAACACGACATAAAACAGCCTGTAAAGGATAAGCATCAGGTGGTTTTTCTCAGGGAAACAGTGTCTTCATATACAATGAAGGTGCCTGCAGCGGAAAAAAAGACTTTATCAATTGAATACAAGCTTATCGGACCATCAAAGTATAGAGCTTCAAAACTGACAGATCATCTTTTGTCTACAAGAAATTAGCTGTAATGGTCATCAAGTGCAACAAAAAAGGACAAGCTAAAGGGGTTTTGCAGGCTCTCTCATGAAGGCTAAAAATCCAAACCATGGGTCATGCAAAAGTAAACATTAAATGGTGTAGAAGAAGAAGAAGACTGGAAAAACCCAAATCCAGGGGCAAAGTCCATCCCATCAAATATAATCAGATCCCAGTTTTTTCTTCAGCTATTATGTGAAAGGGGATTTTTCCCAAACATAATTTCATATGATTTCAAGAAAATGAATCACCTTTGTCATCATGGGATGAATCATGTTCCTTTATCTCTGGAACATGCTTTTCAAGAAACTGCTGAGTAGTTCTCCAGTAGTGATCACCACCAGCAAGCCAAGTGTCCATATGCATGCCATTAGGAAAATCCACAAAGACGCACTCTCTATTATGAGCAGCTGCTTTACCATAGAGCATTTGCATATGGAATGGAGGAACCATTTCATCTTGCAATCCAGAAAGGAAAAGAATTGGCTGCTTAATCTGCATTAAGAAGGTCAATCCAACAGTGACACATCGAAAGAGGAAATTACATAAAACAAAAGGTAGAAAAGAGTCACCGCACTGTAATTGCCATTTCCAGAAACGCAATTCTGAAAATAGCTAGTTCAACTTCAACAACCTGTGTTATATAAGCAAATCATACAGGATCGGCACATGCACTTTAATTCTTCCACAAACCAAAGAGAAGCAGGGGACACATCCAGCCTATAACTCCAAATATATATTCTCAAATAATAGAAGATATAGATGATGTCCTATGGGTGGCAACAAATGATTGAGACATGGTCTTCCACTCGTTTTCACATGCACAAATGCTTTGCATTCATAAATAGTCAATAATGAAAAGCATGAGATTCCACTGACATTTAACCTCACCTGGCCAACAACGTCAATGGTACTCCATGGAGAACGTACAAGAAAATTAAGAAGTTTAGGCCCTTTTGAACTCGTGCCTCCAATAAACCACTTTAGGAAGGGCAGTATAACTCCAGCCATGTCCAGAATGGATGTAAAAGTGTTTTCCAGGATCAATGCAGCAACCTGAAAGGATAGACCGGATAAAAGATGACGATGAACACACAAGAAAAAAAAAAGGGGGTGAAAACAAATTAATACTCACAAATATAGTCTGAGGACCTCCAAAATGGAAAGTGAATAAATTCCAATAACTCCAATAAACAGTAACAAAGATAAATAGTAACTAGTATGTGTACAAATTGGATTGCAGTGAGCTTGGACAAATCACCTTCTTTATTTGGTTTCTTTCATGTCGATGAAACGAATAGTTGGGAGAAAAAGAAAATGAAGGTATAGCATATCAAGATTATCATATTTTAAACTGGAAAGAAATGCAAGATGAAAGCAAAATACAAAGAGAAGAATAAAGAGCTGTCCTAGCCATCACAAGAGCATCTGCAACAAGATGAATACAAAAGAGACTGTATCATCAAAATTTATGAGAACCTAAAAGCACAATACGAGTGATTTAAAACTACATAAATACATGAAACCGCATGACATGATTAGTAAAAGCTTGTTCAATTATTCAGGAAAAAACATAAACAAGATTTTAAACTACATAAATAAACAGCATATGGTACTAATAGAATTATCTGGAGCAATACCTTATCAGGATTGTTTTTTGTGAGAAGAGCCCCAACTGCACCCCCAAGTGACCGCCCAAACACAACTATTCTAGATGTGTCAATGTCAGTCCTCTGTGAAAGATGGTCCAAAGCAGCCTACCCAAAGAAAGAAAAGCATACAAGGACTGAGAACAAAGCTATAGTCTACGCATGTAACCATTGGGAGATAAAGATGGCAGGGCCTAGAGAACAACACCTGAGCATCTTTTGTGATCCCGTGCTGCGAAGGATATCCATCACTTGCTCCATAACTGTTTAGATAAAAGAAATGACGAAGCATTTGTTTTCAATCAGACAAGCAGAAAGAATACAGAAATATAAACAAAAGGAAAAATGGTTAGCAAATGCATACCCTCGATATGAAAGCATGAACACATTGCACTGCAACCTCTGAATCATTATGCGAACCATTTCAAGACGATGGGCAATGTCTGAAGGTTAATAGTTAAGGCCTCTAGTTTCAGGGAGCTAATAAGTAAAAAAAACTTAAAGCTGAATGAACCCAATACAGGACAAATATTTATAATGGTGAATCATGGCAAGGATACTTCCAGCATTCTCTTGGAAAAATAGGACAGTCGGACCTGCAAAACCATCATAACTAATTTCTGAGCTCGGAATTTATACTATCAGGAACGCAACTAAAGAAATGACACGTTCAAATTTAAACTAAACCTAATCCCAATTAAATTTAAAAAATAATAATCCTTTACTCTAAATCAAATTCCAATTTCATGTCCGCCTATTTAAACCCTAGCTGAGATTTAAGAAATAAATGAATGACCGAAAATAATTGTAGTGATGACCTCGGCGTTCAGGGAGTGCTTTAATGAACCACGCGTGAAGACGGACGCCATCGGAGGATCGGAGCCAAACGTCCTCGTAAAGGAGACGGAGTCGGGCAGGAGTGACCGAGTAGGATTTAGTGAGACCGGGTAACACCGGGACGTAGACAAGCTTCTCTTGAAAGGCTACAAGCAAAGCCATCCCTGCTACCACTATGCCTCCTACTCCGTACAGCAACACACCCACGTACGACACCATTTCCTACTGTTGCTCTTATCGTTTTGATTTAACAGTCTTCACTCTCTCTCTCTCTTGCGGTGACCGTGAGGAGCTGTTTGTTTACGATTTGATTTGAAATAGAAAAACAAATAAAAACATTGATGTTTGTGTTGGGTGAATCTATCTGTCCATTTTTCTTTGGATCTTGGGGTGGAAGGAATGTGTTGGAGAATGTGGGTGCACAGGTGTCAGAGTCAGACCTAGACCTCCCTGAGATTTAACCCGATTCAAGGCTCGGGTAGCTGGGTGGTTGAGTCAATTCCCAAGTCAAGCTGCATCTTTATCAGAACAAGTTGTTCTGGACTTTTAAAAGAAATGATGTTATTTGGATAAAAAGTCTTAAAAAAATGAATTAATTTTGTTTTGAAAAAAATTTTAAAAATAAAATTATTGAAGTTGGTTTAAAACATATATATTTTATTAAAATTATGATTTAAATTAAAGTTGAATAAAAAATAGTTTAATATGTTTAATTAAGAATGCTTTTAAAATTGAAGTTATAAAATAATTTAAATATATATATATTAATATTGATGATTTTTAATTTAAATATTGTAAATTTAACTACTATTATTATTCTATCATGAGTTAAATAATATTTTATATAAAATATTTTTTATTATTCTATTAAACTATTTACAATTCCATCATGTATGAAATACATCCAATAAGGACCATAGTTTTCATAAATTTCTTAAGAGCGCAACAATATAAGGTAAAATATAATTAGGAATAAAATTGGGATTATGA